AAAAAAAAAAAATTCTAATACTCAGGCAACACCTGTGGCTCAGTGGGTAGGGCGCCAGCCCCATATATCAGGGATGGCAGGTTTGAACTCGGCTCTGGCCAAACTGCAACAAAAAATAGCTGGGTGTTGTGATGGGCACTTGTAGTCCTAGTTGCTGGGGAGGCTGAGGCAAGAGAATCGCCTAAGCTCAGGAGTTGGAGGTTGCTGTGAGCTCTGATGCCACGGCACTCTACCAGGGTGATAAAGTGAGACTCTGTCTTTAAAAAAAAAATTATAATACTCAACATATATCAATAATATTTGCTATCTTGTAAATTGTTATGTTGTATATCTTGTAATCCTAAAAGTCAAATGTGACTTGAGTATTATAATTTTAATACAGTTTTTCCTTTCTTAAAATTCGTATACCTTTTTCTTGCATCCTCTATAGTTTTGATTTGCATTTTCCTAATGATTAGCAATGTTAATACATCTTTTCATATGTTATTTGCCATTTGTATACCTTCTCTGGAGAAATACCTATTGAAGTTTTTTCTCTATTTTTTAATCATGTTGCTTATTTTTTGTTGTTGAGTTTTAGGAGTTCTCCATATATTCTGAATATCAATTCTTTATCATATAAATGATTTCCAAATTTTTTTCTATTCTTTAGGTTGCTTTTTAACTGTTGATAGTATCTTTTGACATAAATTATAAATATTTTATGAAGTCCAATTTTTTTTTACTCTTCGGGGTCATATCCAAGCTATCACTGCCCAATCCACGGTAGAGAAGATTTTGCCCTATGATATCTTATGTGTTTTATAATTTTAGGTTTTATTCTTAGGTCTTTGATCCATTTTGAGTAAAGTTTTGCATATGATGTTATCTAAAGGTTCAATTTTGTTGTTTTGCATATGGACATTCAGTTTTCCCAAGACCATTTGTTGAAAAGACTGTTCTTTCCCTCATTGAATGGTGTTAGCACCCTTGTCAAAAATCATTTGACCATAAATGTGAGGGTTTATTTCTAATTTTTAAATTCTATTTCATTGTTCTACACATGCATGTCTATGTTTATTCCAGCACCAGAGTGTTTGATTATTTTAGTTTTGTAGTAAGTTTTTAAATTAGAAAGTGTGAGTCCTCTAACTTTGTTCTTCTTTTTCAAAATTATGAAGGCTATTTGAGGCCCCTTGATGGTTCAAATGAATTTTAGGGTTTATTTTTCCATTTCTATAAAAGACATCAATAGGATTTTGGTAGGGCTTGCATGAATCTGTAGATTGCTTTGGGCAGTACCAGCATCTTAACAATATTAAGTATTCAAATCCATAGTATGTCTTCTTAGTTTCTTGAGCAATGTTTTGTAGTTTTCATTATGTAAGT